ACAGAGGACAGCATCGCTGAGTAAGGTAAGTAAAAACGCACATTTAATCATGCGCTTTACAATATCTATCATCATTTGCAGGGAACTAAAATACATATACTTCCATTATGCTGATGTGAACTACAATTTCTGTAAATTTAAATACTCCACAGTGCAGTACTTGCTCCCAAATAAGAGGCTTTCGCAATGTCCTGGACACAATTTACAAGAATAAGACAGTGGTTTTCATGCAGACCCTTTTTCTATGCACGCTTTCGGGGATCAAACAATTTGCCTCGAAATGAAGAATCCAAAATTCTTAGCAAGTAGTTAATTTGTGGACACTCTTTGGCCAGACCCTGTGCTTAACAAGTAGGATATGTCCCCGCACAACGTCTGCAAATGGGCGATTTCGGCACAAATTAGGTGCGACACATTTAACATATCAGGATAAATGTTTTTTAAAGTTCCTTAGGAGGCACTTGGATAACCGAAACTGTCGCTCTTACATTAGAAATCGGGACTTCTGATATGGCGTAGTTGCATCCAGTTCTTTCAGATATCTCAGAAGGCTCTGAACCATATATTATGTGAAGTGTCGATAATAAGGTTGGAGTATAGAAGTTCTTGTCGCTTTCAACATAATAAGGTACATAGAGCACTTATTTGGTCGCAACTGGAATAAACGGTACACCCTTGGCGGCCTGGATTCGGAAAGAACTAGTTATTCCTGAAGGTGTGCAACGAAGCGCTAAAAGGGTTGTTCATGAACTCAAAAATATGACGCACGGCCACCCTATGACCGCCTTCAATCTACTCCAGTACAGACAGGACAGAGATAATCTGATAGCAACGTTTCAGTTTCTACGTCGACTTGATCTGGATGTGAACTGGGCAAGTCTTTCCAGCAGTGACACAGTAATCGACGCTCGTCCCTTTGCTTGCAGTGACTCAGCTGTCAGTAGAATTCTTTAGAGACGTATTTTTTACATTGTCCCATCGTGGGTGCCTTCAAGGGACGCCTAGATAAACACTTTTTTAAGATCAACCCAAACTCCCAAAAGCCCACCACCCGGGCTACCAATATAAACCTTTTACTACCTTGATTTCAGTAGGTAACTTTGCTTACACTAATTTTCATCGAGATGAAACTTCTTATTTTGCGAACTCAGTGAACGTGTTTTCCGCGGGCTTCTGTCATTTAATCCAAATATACTGATTGATATTGATTTATGGATGGATTGAGTTTTTGGGTGACCAGCATATCTTCGCGATCGAAGTTAACACGGAAAAATCCCTTTTTGCAGGCAGCTTAATAATGTGTCAGACATGGAGCATACCTCATGGCTGATTTCTGAGCGTAACGCTAAACCAAAAAGTGTTAAGTAGGGAATATGAAAATAAACCTTTCGAAGACCGAGCAGCACCAGTTATTCTTCTACTTTGTGACACATCTGCTAAAGGAGTCCGCGGAAAAGTAGTTGAGGTTGCTGAACATGAGAAGTGTTTAAAGTTATCTAATAAACTGTAGACGTGTAATGTATGAGAATATCCGCAACCCAAAGCTTCGATGCGATACTTACTAAGCTGAACCTTTCTATAGCTAATTGAGCCCACAAAATTTTCATATGTATCTTTTTCGGAGCGGCATGTTTGACTCCACTGAGTTTAACCAAATGCAACTACGGTAAGACTACCATTTTGCGCATACTCTGAGCAGTTAAAAGGAACCTTAAGCCTTAATACCTGGAGTTTCTGCACCATGCGGCGGCCCTCTCGGGTAGCGAAGGATTCAGCTTCCTCAAGCTTGACGGTGATCTCACGGATCTCAATTTCGAGCTGTTTGCGAAGGGCCTCAGCACGTTTGTAGTTCTCCTGCTCTTGGCGCAGTTCGTCAGCGAGACGAAGAACCTCAGCATTCAGACGGTCAGCACGGTCCTCAGCGGCCTAAGCGAACAAAGACCAAAGAAACACCACTGTTAAAGGCTACATGGAGAAAGAAATTAAAGGGAGTGAAGCCTAAAGCACTGGCAGTGGTCTAGAAAGTAATTTGTGGACAACTTAATGGATTGAAGAGGGGAACTAGGAAGAAGAAGGGAAGATTTATACCTTTCGGGCATTGACTGCTTCATCAAGGTCGCCCTGCATGACACCAAGGTCACCCTCAAGACGACGCTTGTCGTTGGTCAAAGCGTTCACTTGCAATGTCAGCTCACTAACACGGTTGTTTGCCTCACCAAGCTCGTTCTCAGCGTTCTTGCGAGCGCGTTCGCAAACCTCAAGGGAGCTGCGAATTTCTTCAATCTCGGCGGTAAGTTGGATGCGTTTGCGTTCGCTTGCCTGTAAACGAATGGATATTTTTTAACGCTGTAAAAGATGCTGCAATGGGTAATTGTGCAGGTATGTTTTACAGGCCGATAAAGACATCTTCTGGAAGGGAGACTATAAACGGTAACTCCACCTGAAGGTTGCCTTCCGCGGCTTCACGAGCTCTGCGTTCGTCGTCGAGGGCGACCTGCAACTCTTGAACACGTTGAGCGAGGGCTTTGTTTTCGCGGTTGAGGTTAGCGTTGGCCTTGTTCGCCATATCCAGTTGCATTTCCAGTTCGCTGATGGTAGCCTCGTACTTCTTCTTAAGACGGGACGTCTCCGACTTGAAGCGAACCTCCATCTCACTGATGGTGGCAGTCAACTCCTCGATAGTGCGAGTAGTGCTCTTGCTGAAATATGAAAACAGAGCGATTGCAGCAATGTACTACGCAGGGGACAAGTAGACAACTCCAGAGCAGGGAGGCCTGCATGGCCATCTTACCGCAGGTTCTCCAGTTCCTCATCCTTCTCGCGCAGACGCTGTTCCATCTCCGATTTAAGGTGAGTCAGAGCGTTCTGAGAAGCCTGGTATTTAGCTTCAAGGTCTCTGAGGGCCTCCTCGGCGTCATGGAGTGCAGAAGCAAGGTTGTCCCTCTCGGCCTCCAGTTGCGAACGCAGAGCCTCGAGGTCAGTGAGACGGCGGTTAGCATCACGCAGGGCGTTCTTGGTCTCTTTCAGTTGCTCTATTATTATAGGAAAATATATTT